GATACTTTAGCAATCACAGTCCCTGCGGGTATGGTGATGTCTCCAGAATTCCAGTTGGAAGTTGATTGTCCTCCGAGGCTTCAAGAAGAAAAATGTCCTTCCCCAGTTGTTTCTTCATTTCATACTGCATACCTCTCACCTCTCAATGGTATGGTTAACCCTCCTGGTCCAGTCCACAGTATTTGACCCTCATCTGATTCAGAGCCCTCCACTTTCCCTTTAACCTGTGGTGCATGTAGTTTAAGCACTTCGGATTAAATTCACAATGAGTAGGCTTGATTTGAGCCACAAGAGTCTGGGCTGAGCACAGTCAATCGCTGGAAGAAGTTTGCATTAGTTCCAATAATAACCGGAACTTGTTGAGTACCCTGTGGTTCTGGGCAAACCAATGCCAGGATAGAGATGCTCTGCTTCACACGTGAGTGGGGCAGGAAATGAGATGTCTACCACTATATGGCCCTTATATGGATAACTTGATTCACTCAGTCCCCAAATGGACACTCCAGCAATCGGGTGAATAGGAACTTGGGACAATAATTTGGAATACCATTCTTCAAAGACAATAGTGACCTGAGATCCACTATCAAGAAGGGCTGTAAAAGGGCATCCATTGCCAGCAGCCATATCACCCTGCAGCCTATGACTGGTTGCCCACTGAAGCTAAGCAGGGCTTAGCCTGGTCAGTACCTGGATGGGAGACCTCCTGGGAAAACTAGGTTGCTGCTGGAAGAGGTGTTAGTGAGGCCAGCAGGGGGTGCTCACCCTGTGGACTGTGTGGGTCCTAATGCCCTAGTATAGTGATGGGGACATATATACTGTCAAAAAGCACCGTCCTTCGGATGAGACATTAAACTGAGGTCCTGACTCTCTGTGGTCATTAAAAATCCCAGGATGTCTTTCGAAAAGAGTAGAGGTGTGACCTCAGTATCCTGGCCAAATTTTGAAATTGAACTGGCTTCAGATTCAAATATCCAGTGGAGATTGCTTAGCAAAGCTCACCTTCATCACTGACAGCTGGTCTTGTAACTTCTGAACCTGTTTTTTTTTAACAGTTGCAACTCAGACTCTTCCTGAGTTTCAGCCCTTTTCTTAACCTGTTAGTCTCTCGACTCCACTCTCAATGATGCAACCGGGTTTTTCCCAGAATCTTCTCCCAATCGGAATCTTAACTCCTGTATTTCCTTGTGTAGCTGTTTACCACAGAAGAGTTCATTTTGTTATTAGGTTTCAGATTTATGGGCTTTACTGAGGCTTTGATCTTAAGACGGGCAGCTTCATTTTCCTCTGCTTCCTTAATCTCTTTTAGTAATGCTAAGAAATTTGGAGGGTTTCCTTTCCCTTAGTCTCAACTGCAGTAGCATAAGATCCACTTCAACAGCTCCTCTGACCAGTTGTTCAATCCTCACGCGGTCCATTAACTGTGGTGCCAATCCTCCACTTTAGTTAAGGGTTTTTCTATCCGCCTCAGAAAATCAGACAGAGCCTCACCTGGTGGCTGACGAAGAAGACGGAAAGCAAAGTACAGATCCTCTCCAGATTCAAATGTTCCAAAAGTATTCTCCAAAGCATCCAGATATTGCGAAGCACTAGCAGTAGGACTTGAAAATCTGACAGCCTTGACAATGTTAAGCACTCCATTATTATTATTCTTTTTTCCTTTTCAGAGCATTTGCACTCTGCAGTCATCAACCTGGCTTGTTCCATCCAGTTTTCCAAACATTCCTCTCCTGGTGATGTGGGGACAGTACCTGAAAAAGGTACGTAATCGGCAATAAGCACTAGCATCAGTAGATTTTTTAGAAGTTTTCTCTAGTAGTTCACCCACGGCACAGATGATAGATTCAGGAGAGCCAGCACTTGAGCTAGGTTGAGTGAATAGAGCTTGCAAGTCAGACATCGACTTTCCCTCCTCACTTACGAACTTGGACAATTTCTGGGAAAAGTCTGAAACAGGCACATCTGCTGAAGCCACTACTACCTTCCAAGTTTCCTCTCCCTGAGCAGGCAGTAATTCTGGGGGAATACGAGTAGGGTCAATGACTTCTTTGCATTCACAGAGGACCAAGCTAGTGTCAGGAGTTGGTCCTAATCTTGAATCTCTCACACAAACCCTACCAAACGCTGTTACAGTCTGCGCTGTCTCTTCTATAAATGCCACATCAGTCTTAGCTGGCACTCCTATTAACAGTATGCCATGATTCTCCTCAATGTCCACTTCTTTACACCATTTAGACAATTCGGCAATCAGAACTGGATCCTGTCCAAAAGCCATGCTTGTAGTTCAGGTAAGTGATTGTTAGTTCACTTGAATAATCTTAATAATTATTTCAACTCTTGTTGTCTAGGATCAGCTGATCACAAGAAGGAAGTGATCCCGGACGAGCCCCCATAAATGTGTAGCCCCCCCTTACCCTTTCCACTAATGGATGGAGCACCCAGTTTCTAATGATATGTTTCCCGACATAACTAACCTACTTCCTTTCCCACTGAGCATTGTACTTAAATGAAATGTTAAGTGGTGGTCTTTCTGAACAATTGGTAATGTAAATCACTAAGGGCAAGTTCTTAACAATTCACAAATAATTTATTAAAAAAATGAAATCAAAGAAAGAAAATAATATAAATCTAGAGTAAATGGATTAAATTAAATACAACAATGTGTGTTGTTTATTTTCTTTCACATGAAATTTTGGATCTGAGAAGATCTAAAGGGGATTTTAATACCTGATGCTCAAATAACTATAGGTACTCAACTAATAGCTAATACTACATTTGTATCAGTAAGAAACAGTAATTCACTTCCCTTGTGAAATATGGCACTAAACAGCAGTCAGAATGCAAATACTCAATATAAATCAAATGAAACAAGCTAAATAGCAACGGTGTAATGTGGGCCCACACACACACTCTCAGTTTCAATAATTCCTATATGTTGAAGGCCTGCATCGTCACTTGAGAATGGTGTGGCCGTTAAACCCAACAAATGGCCTCTTCGCTCCGAAGAGCTAAATAAACAAACAAGAGTGCCTTTGTCCGCTTGTGTCAACACACGTGCTGTCCATCGAACTTGTTAGAAACTCCGTATTCGTCTGATGTTTCACCCGCGGTCCGCTGGATGACGAGAAATCCCGCAGTGCCAGAGGAATTCTAAACCACGTGGGGATTTAGAACGCTATCTGGTTCCTCCATCCCGTATACTTATTCCTCGAAATGATTAAGAAACTCTGGTCCATCATCACATCAAAGGGAAATTACAGCGCGAGCAGCAGCTGTAACAAATGTAAGTCTGTTTAAACTCTTAGAGTAAACAAATTACACAAATGAAAGAAAGGTTCTTTATCACTTCCTACTTTCATTAAATATAAGATCTAGCCACTTAGATAGCGGCTATTTTCGTATTCCTTTCCGAAACACGAGAAAGAAAAAAACTGCAACATCACTTTCAATCTGCCTCCTCTGTCTCTCCCTCTTCACTCTCCACCAACTTCTCCAATCAGAATTCTCAGTACCTGCACAGGGGTGGGAGTAGGTAAAATACTGACCAATCACAAATAAAAGAACATACGTGCTGTTCAAACGCACATTTTGAGCAAGTACATTTCACATAAACATTTACTGTAATCACTGTAACATTACAACAAATGAAATGACTCTAATCTAATGATATGACTACATAACATTTATGACAACTTAACTCAGGAATGTCAGAAGCATCTACATATTCAGAAATATGCATTTAGGCTACATATGTGCACGCGATCTGTACGTTATGTGTGAGTGTTGTGCACGTGTGCAGCAATGTAGCAGCACATTAGTTTCGAGCGGAGATTAACTACCTGTACAATAAACTGTTTAAAATCTGAATTCACCCAATCAATATTGAGTATCCACCTGCTACAAACAAACATGCTTGAGATATACTCGTCCTCCCGCACTCGTCCATCGCCGTCATTATAACCTTAACATTCTTTCTGATTTGAGTGATCCACATATCTGTCAAGCTAGCTAATGATGTTTAATGTGTGACTTCTTGATAAAATGCAGTTATATTATGGGCTGTTGGCATTAAATGTGCTCGTGATGGAGCGGTAGTGGAGCATGCTCAGAGCGAGTGAAAAACCATGACGCTCCTACTTTAAAAAAATCCACTCCTCGCTCAGTCAAAAATCACACCGCTCCACTCTACTCCGCTCACATAATCTGGTGGGCAGCCACTTCTGCTGCGGCGTCCGGGGAGCAGTTTGGGGTTTGGTTCTTGCTCGTGGTATTGAGGGTGAATGAGAGCGCTGTTCATTCACTCCCCCCACATTCAATCCCTGCCGGTACCGAGACTCAAACCCACGACCTTTGGGTTACAAGTTTGACTCTGTAACCATTAGTAACCAGTATAACAAGATAATTATGAAAAATTAATAATTATGAATTATTACAATTGATACTGGCCTCACATTTTTCTTACCCATCTTTACACTACATATGTATATAAACTATAATACTAAAATGCATGATTGTTTATAAATATGTTTGTTATCAGTGATGAAATCACCAAAACGTGTCTAAATAAAGTCCACAAACACTTTTGAAACTTTTCGCCTGTTTTGTTATTGATGGACGTCACAGGTGTCATTTGCAATAATTTATACTAGCTAGCTTCCCTTTCTCTGTTAAACTCCCCGTCACAAAAATTAGACTTTAATATGTTTTAATGTGATTTTAGATCTGCTGAATATACGTCAAAGCATGGAGTTTATTTTACAGAATCTTCTGATGTGTATGAATTGTGAGGTTTTAGTTTTCTTTTTCAGCTGTAGTTGCTGCTGTTGTTTTAAGTAGAGTTTGAAATGTTTACTTCCTTTCATCACTGATGTTCAGACTCTTATTCTTTCAGTTTCTTCTTTATAAAGTCACATGCCAACTGGCAAGTTTTAATTTATTAGTTAATTAATGAATTCCCTGTTTGTGCGTAAGACAGACATCTCACTCTTTCATTCTGTTTTCAGGTCCTCAAACCTCAAATCTTCTGGGCTCAATATTGAACCGCTGCTGAAGTGTCAGTCTTGCGTCCATGTAGCTGATCCAGATCAGTGGGTTCAGATTGAGACACCGGTCTGTACAGATGAAGGAGTACCAAAGTTCAGGATCAGTACTCTGCCAGGCCGTTACGAGTGTGTCAGGACCAGGATGCGATGGGTCAGTGATTATGACGTCACCCTTCAGTATCACACGGTAGACGGACACTTCCTCAACAAAGAGCTGGAGAGGCTGCAGTGCAACCGGATCGCTCCAGTGATGGACGTGACGGTGATCTCAGGGAAACTGGAGGAAGTTCATCTGCCACATTACATCTGTTTAGGAGAGTCTGGAGCTTCCCTCAGAGATGCTGTGAAAGTCCTCAGTGTAAAAGATGAGGGAATAACCATAGAACCAGTGAAGTTGACACGATTCCATGCTAAGATTGTCAAACCATCCTTCTCTCTTAAAACATTAATTATAAGTTGGATAATGGGATGGGATGAACACTGCGATCTTCTTCTCTACATGCGCTCTAAAGATCCTCTCATTCTACATGTCTACTTTTTTCCAGTTGATGATTGTGCGAAAGAAAAAGTTGAGAAGATTGAAAAATCGAGTTATTGGATCTTGCATCCCAGACCTGACAGACCGTTTCGGATGAAAACTCCACACAGTCTTGATGTTCCTGGTGCTTCTGTCCATCCCAAAGAAGGGATCACATTCAGAAGAGAAACTGACCCAAATTTCTTCAAGATCAGGATCAAGACACGTCTGGAGAATGATTTTCATATGAGTCTGATCAGAGAGGAGGACAAGAAGATTGTCTGGATTGCAACACTTGAGAAAGAGGAACTTGATCAGATTCATCCACAGAGAGAGGAGTCACGTCCACAGAGAGACGAGTCACGTCCACAGAGAGAGGAGTCACGTCCACAGAGAGAGGAGTCACGTCCACAGAGAGACGAGTCGCGTCTGAATAGTGAGGCAGGTAAAGCAAGATATTTTGACAACCACTGGCCAGATCTCATTCAGAAGGTCACAGATTTTAGGATTATTGCAGATAAACTGCGTCAGCAGGAAATAATTCATGAGGAACAATATTCAGAAATCAGACAGAGTTTAACCAGTCAGGACGGCATGAGAACGATCTGTGACATTATACGTAAACACAGCGATGCTGTGAAAGCTAAACTCATCTCAATTCTTCAGGAAGAGAAGCTTTACCACTTTTAAAACATTGGTCTGATTTAGGGCTGCACGATTAATCGCATGCGATATTTAACGCGCATCTTGTCAGAAAGCCGCTTCTGTAATCAGCGGTAAATCTCCATCACCTGCGTGCTTTCACATTGAGCAGCATTAACTACACAGAGCCCTGATTCTACATTTAGGGCTCAAGGAGCATCTTTTTAAACTTAACGTTTCAAAACAGCAACCTCAGTCCGAAGGCTCGTCCTCTAGAAAAAAAATGGTTTATCAAAATATACTTGGTCAGCAATTAAGTCTTTCAAAATATTAAGTGATTGTAACATTACAAATAAATCTCAGGTTTTGTATGTCTAAGTTAATGGCAGGTAAATCTCCATTGTCAAAGCAAATTTAGAGGAAAATTTATATTTATGTTTATCTAAATGTGTATTTCATGCTTGTACATGGTTTTATACATCAGAAATTCACCAACATTTTGAGATATTTCTTTTTTTTTTTTTCATTTTTAGTTTAGTTGTTTTACAACATCAACTTAACCTGTTAACCCGCACCTGGACGCCTACACACTGAACGCTCTTTTTTTGCACGTGTCAATGTTTGCGTATAGATAAAATGAAAAGGGACATAATTAATCTTTACAAACTATATATTATTCTAAAGGTCTAAGCCTCAAGCATCGACGATAGATCGCTGTTTTTAAATGGAAAGCTTATAAAGAATGTATTTGCTAAATTTGTGTAAGCAGTACACATCAAAACATCCACAATAAAAACGCAGTACATACCAGATTCATCATAATAACGAGTCATAAACGCATCCACTGCTGTAAATCCCGGTTTAGTTAGAATGACATGGTTTTGTAGCATACAGTGTCAAAAACAGAATGAGACCATCCACTAAAAAAAAGTCAAAGATACGCGGAATCTTGTTTATTTTAATTCTGGTGCTCTCTTGTGACGGCTCGTGATGCACACTGTGACGCATCTGTCATCTGATGGGGTGTAACTTAGCGATCTGCTTTTTGCACAAATAATTATTTTTCCTATTCAACATTTTTCATATATGTGTGTGTTTTGTGGGGAATGTGGCTGTATCTGTATGATTACCATCTGTATGACCGCACATCAGCGTGTGATTACTGACTGAATGACCAGCTATCAGTGTGAATGCTGTCTATATGAACGGCCATAAGAGTGTGACTATTGACTATATGGCCGGCCATCTGTATAATTACCATCTGTATGACCGGCCATCAGCATGTGATTACTGACTGTATGACCTATCAGTGTGAATGCTGTATGTCTGGAAATCAGAGTATGTACTTGACATACAAAGCTTATTTTTATTTCTTATTATTACTAAAAATTATTCTTATTGTATTTTTCTAGTGCTCAAATAAATCACTTATACAATGTCTAAGATTCAGTCTATTATTTTATAATTGAAAAAGTATGCAGTGGTATGTATAATGACTAAAATAGTTTGTAGAACCCTTACATTTGTAAGGGTTACATTTGGTGGCTATTTTTCCTCAAACAGGGGGTGGGGGGACTAGACATAGTCTCAGAAAAATGGCTGCAGGAAGATTGCTCAAGGACTGATTTCATGTATTTGTATATGAAATAAATAAAAAAAACATCAGTGTGGTAAACAATTTTTCAAGGCACTTCAGTGTCTATAACTTTTTATCTTTTTGAGCATTATCAACTGATGGATAATAAAACCTAAAGTGTCTTCTTTCCAAAGATACCTAAATTGTGTGTGTAGCACACTGTGTTCAGGAACTGTTACCATTGTAAGTTAGGTATGTCATTTGACATTTCACCCACATTATTTTATTTATTTATTTATTTCACACTGTATATGTTCCCATTGAGCCAAATAATGAGAAAGAAGCAATCTGCCTATGCAGATGACACCCAGATTTATCCTAGCCTTATCACCTAATGACTACAGCCCCATTGACTGATTGAGTTTAGAAACAAAGATGAAGTTCTCAAGGGGTTGACTCAAGGGGTCAAACAACTGAAAATCAGGTCAGGAATCTTGGTGTGATTCTGGAGTCAGACCTTAGTTTCAGTAGTCACGTCAAAGCAGTAACTAAATCAGCATACTATCATCTCAAAAACATTGCAAGAATTAGATGTTTTGTTTTCAATGAAGACTTGGAGAAACTTCTTCATGCCTTTATCACCAGTAGGGTGGACTACAGTACATTTACATTTAGTCATTTAGCAGACGCTTTTATCCAAAGTGACTTACAAATGAGGACAATAAAAACAGTCAAAACTAACAAAAGATCAACAATATATAAGTACAAATGACAAGTCTTGGTTAGCCTAACGCAGTACACGTAGCAAGGTGTATATAAATATATATATATACACCTTCACACACACTCACTCACTCACTCACTCACTCACTCACTCACTCACACA